TAAAAATACATACTGTAGGGCTGGAGAGATGGCTCCGCAGTAAAGAGCATCGGCTGCTCTTTCAGATGACCAGGATTCAGTTCCCAGCACCCACGCTGCAGCTCACAACCTTCCGTAACTCCAGTTCCAAGGGATCCCACGCCCTCTTCTGGCCTCCAAGGGTACCAGCCCCCACACAGGGCCCAGCCATGCATGCAGGCAAAACACCTGCACACATCAAATAAAAACAGATGTCTTAAGTTCAAAGAAATAGGTACCATGATAGAGCTAAGAGAAGTCATCGAGGATGCAAGCAGAGACAGGGAAAACCTACAACATGGAAGCTCATGCTTGTGAGCCCCCAAAATAGGTTTGGTCTGAGGAGAATGGGGAGCAGGGCCCATCACAAAAGGTGCAGGAACCCCAAGACAAGACCACAGGGTTCATCTTGTCGCAGATGTCTTGATGACGTTCTCGAAAGGCCAGTGAGAGACTGGGGGTTCCGCTCAGTAGGGAGGGCGCTTGCCTGGTATGCCTGAAGCCCTGGGCTTGATTCCTAAAACCCGGCGTGGCAGTGCATAACTGTAAGCCCAGCACTTGGAAGGTAGAGGCAGAGGATCAGGAGTTCAAGGTCATCCCCAGCTACCTAGAAAAGCCGAGGCCGTCCTGGGCTGCCTGAGACTGTGTCTTAGGAAACTTCAAGGACGAATATTATGGGATCGAATAATCTGGATTTCGGTGCCCTCGACAATCCGCCATTCTTTTGTTTCCATGATTTCGCCATATTATCTACTGATTATTTGATGTAACTTGACTAGAAACTGGACACCAAGTAACAGGCAAAAAAAAAAAAAAAAGTTTTTTTTTTTTTTTTAATGTAGTCAAAATGAATCTGGATGTAAGCCATGGTATATATGAGGTTCCCCTAAGCAAAGTACAGTTTGGGCAAAAACAGTCCCAGCATCTTGGCTTAGTCTTGGCTTAGCTGAAACATATAAAACCCACGAAACCCATCCGAGCAGGCCATAGAGACACCGCTGCCTTTGCCTCAGAACTTGGACTATGATCTGCTGCCCCAGAACAAAATTCAAACATAAATCAGCTCCCACTGTATTTTTAAACCACCTACGAAACTCTTCATTTCCTGCCTGAAGTGCTCCTGACAGTGAATGATGCCCGTGCTCGATCGCCCGCCCCTGCTCTGAAAAGGCTCCCTCGGGGGCACTGCTGGGGATGGCAGCCCGGGTCTCACAGTTCAGGCGAGAGCAGAAAGAGAAGGACAGAAGGAACCATCTGGAGCTTGGGCTGAGGCCAGCGCCTATAGTGCTGCTACCCGAAGTTGGAGAGGGCTCTTCCTCCTGGTGTTCCCTGCCAACCAGGATGCCCTCTCTCCTCGCCGCCCACCCCAGTCTCATCTGTGCCCTCTGACCTGGAGCCCCCACCGAGCCACCCCGGATGCCCACGGCATTGTCTGGTGTCGGAGCCGCTAATGCAGCAACAGTAAGTAGCAGGCAGCTGGCATTTCATTATACCATGTCTGGCGTGCTGTATTTCACGTTGTCAGTCTGTCTCTCTAACCAGACGAAAGCTATCTTGAGGGTAATGATGAGTTCGTTCTTATGGCGTATGTCTACCTTCCTCATGGCGCCTCCTGTCTGAGCAAGGTCATGAAAACAGAACGGTGGAGCATCCAAGCTATCGAGCCCCCTCCGCTCTTTCCGTTTTGTCCAGAAAGGAAATCAAAGCCAAAGGCTTTTTGACCAGTCCAAGGTTGTGCCATAAGAACCTTCTAGAAGGGATCCAAGTCTCCCGCCTGCCAGTGCCTCAGCCACTCCAAAACCCTCAAAAAAGCCAGTCCAGGCCCACGGCTCCCTGGGGAACAGAGACACACATGCAGGCCGCCGTCTCCCAGGACTCCACCTGCTCCTGGGCAGGACTGCCAGGCCAGGCGGCATCGTAAAGCTCAGTGACCAGCCCTCGTGGGCTTGGGGTGTGCAAAGACCCGAGTAGGTTACCTGGGTCCCCTCACAGCACAGGGGCACCATAGTTTGTGCAGCCCCTGACTGAGGACAAGGGGCAAGAGGAGAGGGCGGGCCCCTCTGTGGAGAGCCGCCTGGCTGTGCCAGGGCTGCCGTCTGCAGTGAGCTCTCCACAAGCCAGGTGTTTGCCTCAAACTTCAAACAACAGACGTTCCAGATGAGCGGGAAGGCTGACAGAAGCCAGGCCCCAGCCAAGGCAACCCATGGCAGCAACACACAGAACCCAGGCACAGGCTGGTGGCTCCTCAGCTGGGGACTCTCCTTGGTCACCCACTCTACAGCTGTGACTTCTCAGCAATCCTCACCTGGCACGACGCGCTCACTTAACAGGTGTGGAAGCTGAGGAAAACGGAAGCCTCTTGGCCCACATTGCCGTTTTGTAGAAGTGGGGTTGGAGTAAAGGACAGCTTCAGCAAAAAAGTCTCCCTTTCGCTATAATCCATAGAGACTCTGATTCCAGCCCATTTTAAGTGTTTGTTTGTTTGTTTGTTTGTTTGTTTTCCTTTTGAGACAGGGTTTCTCTGTGGAGCCCTGGCTGTCCTGGTACTTGCTCTGTAGACCAGGCTGGCCTCGAACTCAGCGATCTGCCTGCCTCTGCCTCCCCAGTGCTGGGATTAAAGGTGTGTGCAACCACATTTTAAGATTTTTTTTTCCTTTTATTTATGTGCCTGGGAGTTTCCCCTGCAGGTTCCATCTGTGCACCTTGTGTGTGCAGTGTCCAAGGCGCCAGAAGAGGGCGTCAGATGCTATGAAGCTGGAGTCACGCGCTGTTAATAGCCACAATGTGGCTGCTAGGAATGGAACCTTGGTCCTCTGCGAGAGCTAAAGTGCTCTTAACTGTGGCGCCCTCTCTCCGGCCCCTCATCTTGAGTATTCTATCTCGCCATCTGACCCAGGAGAGGAGGCCTGGTTGGAAAAACACAAGGCTGCTCAGGGAGAAAGCTCAGAGCCTTCCCGACTTTGCACGGGGCTAGGAGAAGGAGATGAGACAGGCGTGAGGCGCACCAAGAGCTCTGTGGCTTTTTCTTGGTGCCAAAGAAACGCAGAAGGAGCCACTTCTAAAAGAACACAGTGTTTTCCTCCTCTTCTCACCTCCCCTGGGCCAGCGCCTGTGATAATTGGGAAGCAGAGTCTGGTTTTTCTGGGACTGGAACCAATCCTGGAAGAGCGTCCTGACAATAAGGGTTGTTGATTGACAGTTGACAGACAACGTTCCCGAGGAAGTTTCCCATGGCCGGGTGTCAAGCTGAGAACTGCACCAAACAACTCCCAACAGCCTCCATCCCGTTCAGGTAGAATTTACGACACGTTCTCACTGTGGGTTGTAGTCAGGCAGCCAAGGGAGATGGTATCTCGGCCCCATCACTCAGGGACTCTATCAAGGAGCAAACACACACCTGAAGACGGTTTTTCCCCTCTGAACGCTGAGGTGGAGTTATCACTCACACAGAGAAACGGGCTCCAGAGCAGAGATAACTGACTGGGAAACAAGGAGCTTCGATTCTGGTCTCATCAGCTTTGACCTAGTAATTCCACCTGGACAAATTTGTCTTTGGAAAGGAACACAGAAGGACAGAGCTGTGTTTGCAGAGACGTTTGCTCTGTTACCTGTTCAAAGAGTCGTTCCACCCCATGAGATAATCTCTAGCACACGTATGAAATGTATTTACCTGGCAGAACCTATGACAGTTTAATTACCCCCCCAAACACACACACACACACACACACACACACACACACACACACACCCTCACACACACTCCTTTAGACCACAGCTAGGTTTTTTGCCACACACATTTCTAAAATTAATTGTTGTTGTTGAGGTTTTACAAACTTCTGGGCTCTAACTGATGCTCCCACTTAAGGTACTGTCCTCAGTATCTTAAGACTACAGGTGTGCTCCATCATGCTCAGCTACCTTTTTTAATGTAAAAACAAACAAACAACAACAAACACAGTACTTCCCAGATGCTAAAGATGCTGGCTTGTAGAACTTTGGTTGCGGTTCTATGTTCTGTGATAGGGTTATAGTAAAAAAACTCAAAGGCCACAGGTACACTGGACAATGCTACGCATGAAGAAGCTGATAAAGGAACACACAGAAACTGAAGTAAGAGTCTCAGGCTGCACATAGCATGCCACTTGCTTTCTGCATGTCTTCTGTGATGTCTGCAGGCTGTTCTTACCAGAAAACAAGACAATGCCTAAGAACACAGGACAGGAAGAATTAACAGTGCAAGCCCATGTTAGATCCCCAATAGCAGGGGGTTCAAGCTGGGACTGAAGGAGCGGGGCTTGCATGCTGGGCCTGGAAGGATGGACAGAATTGAAAGAGACTATTTAACCTAAAAAACCATGCAGAGGCTGGGCATGGTGGTGCACACCTTTAATGCCAGCACTAAGGAGGTAGAGGCAGGAGGATCTCTGTGAGTTCGAGGACAGCCTGGTCTACAGCCTGCGCTCCAGAACAGCCAGAGATACACAGGGAAATCCTGTCTGGGCTGGAGAGATGGCTCAGAGGTTAAGAGCACTGGTTGCCCTTCCACAGGTCCTAAATTCAATTCCCAGCAACCACATGGTGGCTCACAACCATCTGTAATGAGGTCTGGCGCCCTCTTTTGGCCTGCAGGCAGAACATAATATACATAAATTAAAAAAAAAAAATCTTAAAAAATCAAAACAAAACCGACTGCACGGATGCCCCTGACGGATGCAAAAAAGGAAGATTTAAAAAGAAAGGATGAAAGAAAGGAAAAAGTTCGCAGTATGTAAAGAGGTCTTCACCCAAGGATGGACTAAAGTCTCCGCAGATCTTATCCGCCGAGACTGTCCAACTAGAGGCCGCCCCTCACAAACATGGCCGCTGCGGGCGGATGCGCCCCTCAACAAGATGGCGACGACAGTAGCTCCGCCTCCTTCCGGCGCGCCGGCCAATGAGGAAGAAGCACGAGGACATGCGCGTGCGCGGTGCGACCTAGTGGGCTGGCCCCGTACGGGAGACACAGCGAGCAATATGACTAAAAAGAAGCGGGAGAATCTTGGTGTCGCTCAGGAGGTGAGGGGAGAAGTTGGGTTTGGGCCGCGTGGTTAGTCGCTGTGTCCCGCCGCAGGGGCGTCAGTCGGCCCGGGGGCCGCGAGGTCGAGGGGCCCGAGGGAGGAAGCGAGGGCGACGTGGCTTGGGGAGAGGCCGCGAGGGGAGAGGGCCCAGAGAGGCTCCTGACGTGAGTAGGCCATGACCCGGAGGTCAGGGGTCGGGGTGGGGAAGGCAGGGACCGAGGACCCAGAAGCCAAGGGGCCCCCAGAGGAGGAGATGCGGAAGGGGAACCCTAAACAAGGCAGGCCGTAGGGGGCGTTCTTAGAAGAGAGACTCGGAAGTTGGGGAGTAGCCAGAAGGGACAGGTGGGCCCCACGGTGTGGGGTACCTGTGAGGGAGGGAACCAGCCAAGGGTGAGCACACTTCTGTTATCCAGGCTGTTGCTAGTGGCTTAGACGTCTCCAGAGACGGGGAGGTTTTTCCTGTGGGCTACCAAAGCTTGTGGTTTGGAAATGACTGTGAGGGTCTCTGGGAATCTGGTGTTAGGGGAGGCCTTTCAAATAGTTCGTCACACACGGAAAGAAAGACAGCCCGTGCACGTTGAGGACCATGTACTGCTTTCGCTCGCGTTCTCCGTGAATCCTCGACTGCCTGCCTGCCATGCTTGTGTAGAGGAGGGAACTGAGGTTCTAAGTAGAACCCGGGGGCTGGGCGTGGTAATGCATGCTTCTAAGGCTGTGAGATGTGTGAGTTCAAAACCAGCCTGGGATACAGAGCAAAGAGGGGAAGGAAATGAAAAGGTGAGATGATACTCAAGTGGGCTTCCTGGAAGTGGGCTCAATTCCTTTTCAGTTAGCACAGAAAGCATGTTCAGCCTGTGGCCCTCAGGCCACAGGTGTCCCAGTACATCTAGGAACGTGGCCCAGAACGTAGCCCAACGTGTTTATAGATGACAGCATCAGGTCAAAAGCTCAGACACCCCTGGGGGATCCTCCCAGAAGCTTCCTACTTGCTCGGTGGTCCTCAAAGACTTCGTAGAGCTTGCAGAAGTGGAGCCGTGACTGTTTCTCTCATCCCAGGTAACTCAGGAGGACCTGAGCGTGTGTTACATAGGCTGTGCATATCTGTGGTAATGCAGGCGTTGTGTATGATGTCTGTCCTGTAGGGGCCGAACGTCTAACAGTGGAGGGTGGGGGAGGGTCACAGACCCTCACCTGAGCATCCAGCCTCTCCCTGTATCACCTGTCGGAAGCAACTCTGCTTTAGTTGCACACGGCCCCGGGGCGGGGCTACAGTAGGTAAGTCAGGGAAGGGAAGAGGAGGGCCCTCCATCCCGCTGGCTACTGGAAAACCCTCCTCAGTTGAGTAAAGAAAGGCCTTCCAAGTGTGGGCTGCTGGGGGAGGAGCACACACACCCCTGGACGTTGTCCCCACACCCATTCTCTAAGGAAGCCCAGTAAACTCGCAGGAGCGAACTTCGTCAGAACTGTACCTCAGTTTGTCATTGGGACTTTTGGTGGAGGGGTGGATGGTGCTTATGTCTCCCCCCCCCCCCCCCCATGAACTCTACCACAGCAGATGATTGTAGTAGCAACAGCCAGGTATTGGCCTGCTTTGTAGGTGGGGGAAAAAAAAAAGTTGTTGGACCTGTGAATGTCCTAAAAGACTGAAGCAGGCATGGTGAATGAAGTAAGCTGACAGTGTTCGAGGGCGTGGACCTGACAGCCTGTGTGGGAGCACCTCGAGCTGCTGTAACAGAAACCCCCAAACTCGGAAGCTTCAGGAATGAAAATGTCATTATCTCTAATGGCCTGGAGCAGAGGTCAGAGGTCAGCAGACCTTGTGTAGAAAGAGTCAAAAGGTTAGACTCTACGGTAGGATGCCCCTGTTGCAGCCCTCTTCAGTCTTGTTCACAGACTCTAAATTTGCCTCCCAGCTATGGTATATCTGTAGCCCTCAGATCAGTACCGGCATATTTCCAAAAGAAAGTGGTAGCGCGTTGGAGTCACCTGAGACTCCAACTGAGTCTGAGCAAGTGAGCCTCTGCCCTATTTGAGCTGTCATGCCATAACAAATGTCCTTTTTATGGGCTTTCTAACACCATGATTTTTGCATTTTTGTGTTCTTTATTGGTGATTTTGCTACTTCAAGAGATCCCTAAGCACAGCGCTAAAGTACTGTCTAGTGTGTCAGGGCTGTGATGAAGCTTATAGGGACAATCGTTTTGTTAGAGAAACTGTTTTTCAGGCTGAAACAACTTGACACTACATGATGCCCTGAGCAGTGAGCTCAGTGCTAATGAAAATGATCCGTTTATTAAATAAGATCTCTTTAACAGAAACACACATCTGAGAACATTGTGTATGCAATAGTTGATGAAAATATTGACCAGAGCTTTGTGGAAGCCCAACCCACTTCAGTGTTTGCTAATTCAATATCATTTTTAAAGAACAGAAGTACTGAGCCTGGAGAGATGGCTCAGTGGTTAAGAGCACTGGCTGCTCTTGCAGAGGACCACGGCTGGTTCTCAGCATCCACATGGCAGCTCACAATCTCTATCTCCAGTTCCAAGGGACCTGTTGCCTTTTTTGGCCTCTTTGGACGCCAAACAGATATGTGGTACACGAATGTGTAAGCAAAACATTCATAAAATATAGGCCAGTAACAGTGGCAGATGCCTATAATCCCAGCACTCGGAAAACAGAAGGGAAGATCAGGAGCTCAAGACCACAGTACATGTGATTCTGACTCAGATACACAAACAAAAAAATATAGCTACCATGCGATCAGTCTGTCTTAATACAAAAGCGTCTGTGGACAATGTGAGTGTGGCTGCCCCAGAAGGCTCTACTTAAGGCTAATTGTGTGCTTAGGAGGCTGAGGTAGGAAACACGTGAGTTTAAAGTCACCATAGACTGCAGTAGTGAGAAACATCTCAAAAACCCAAATGCCCTTCTTTGTAAGAAACCCAAATGCCCTTCTTTGTAAGAAACCCAAATGCCCTTCTTTGTAAGAAACGAAGTGGTGGATGTCTGGTCCACATGCCTTCTCCTGCCAGCTGGTGTGCTGCACGTGGGGTCCTGCCATCCTTTCCACACGATCAAGGCACACCTCGCTGGTATGTCCTTTGTCAAGGACAGTAGAGGAAGTACCCACTGCATTAAGGACCCTATTTGTAAGAGCCACGGTGCAGGGCCCCACTACCTCCTCATCAGCCAGGGCTCATCATCAGCTGGCAGGCCGCAGGCTCAGTGCAGCCTGAGTACCAGGAGAGAAGGGGCGGGCATGTGATAGGGGCCAGGTCTCCAGCACATCACACCTTTCACACAATGTGGCTGCCAGGTGCCCGGAGCATGCCTGGCATAAGGTGGCCAGGGGCAAATGGCTGCTCCTGCTTCTTCCTGACCTTTGCAGATCTGAGCCCATCCCCTTTCTGCTTTGCTTTCCTCATTAGTAACATGGAGAAGTAAAGTCCTTTTGTCTATCTATGCTGGATCTACAGCCCAGGGCTGCCTGCCGGCTAGGCAGGTGCTTTACCATTGAGCCACACCCTCATCCTCCAGCACAGAATTTTAAGTGTTTGAGTTCCACTCAGGATGTAATCTCTTAGTGCTTTGTGTGGGAGCAGCTCTACCCATTTTGCAGCCTTACACATGGTAAGGTGCTGGTTAATTATTTTTGTCAAGGTGACACAAACTAGGGTCATCTAGGAAGAAGGAACTTCAAGAAACTGCCTCCATCACATGGGCCTGTGGGCAAGTCTGTGGGGCGTTTTCTTGGTGAAGGATTTGATGTGGGAGGGCCCAGCCCACTGTGAGCAGTGCCAGCCCTGGACAAATGGTCCAGGGTTGTGTAAGAAAGCTGGCAGAGCCAGCCATGGGCAGAGCCAGCCATGGGGAGCAAGGCCTTCAGCAGCTTCCTTTATGGCTTCCAGGTTCCTGCCTCGAGTTCCCTTCATGAAGGACTAGAAACCGAATTAACCCTTTCCTCCTTGAGTTGCTTTTGGTCATGTTTATCACAGCAAAAGAAGAGCCAACTAGAACAGACCTTGGTACCAGGTTCATGGGTTATTGCTATGGCACACGTTGCCATGTTGTTTGGAAGGATTGTGGAGGTGTGGAACCCTGAGCTGGAAATACCACTAGTGAGAAAAGCTGATTGAGCTGTTCTGGGAGCTTGGAAAATAACCAAGAACAGCGCAGATCTTGGAGGGCCTGGCTCGTGATGTTTCAGAGCAAAGACAAGACTTGATCAGGACTGACTGTGGCTCTGGGCAGCTGGGACTGAAGAGCCAGCTGTGGTTTAAAGAGATAGCAGCCCAGTAGGCAAGCCCTCTAGCACTGACCCATAGCCCCAGCATTGTCCCCCTCATTCTCCCTGCATTTTTGTAGATGTTTGCATGGCTATTTCAAATATTGGTAAATAGATAGCTGTGTAAAACTGTATGGGCATGTAGGTATCTTCAGTTTTTTCTCTAAGGTTACTTTTGGCTGGGATATTCAAGGTTTTGAAACTGTAACCCTGGGCCTTTCTGGCATCTAGCTGTTTCTCCGCTTCCTCTTCTGGTGCCTCCAGCGGGTCTGAGTATTGAGTGTGCACTGGTGCTCAGTAGCAGTAGATATTATCCTCTTATTAAAAGTCGTGCGCTCCAAGCTAGTGAAGTGGTGATTTAATCAAAAATGTTTGGTAATCTGACGAGTGCAGTAAAAGCCCCACAAGTGAGATCTCAGCACCTGCAAACAGCCTGGCTTACTTGTCATAGTGAAACAATTACCAAGAGGGTGGCCATGGACCAGCTGTGCCAGGTGGTCACCCATAGGGCAGCCAGGTCCCCTTTTAACTCCCCAACTCTGCCCCTTTCAGAGGCCCATGAGACTCAGCCAGAAACAACTGACTGTGTGTTTAGGGTCTGAGAGTTTGTTCTGAGTGACAAGAGCAAAAACCATTTTTCCCATGAAAAGTCACAGCCATGGACAGGGAGAGTTTGGGCTGATAGGAAACTTGCTTATATTTAAACTGTG